CCGATCTCGGACCGCAGGGGAGCCGAGGCCCGCCCAGCCCTGCGCGGTCAGCCCGGGGTGCAGCCACATCGCCAGCAAAAACAAAGACGAACGGGTCGGGCGTGGAGTTGGAGGGTGGCCTGCGAGGACCGCCGCCCGTCCCTGTCCATTTCCAAGTACTTTGTTTTGCTTGGAATTTCTTATTCAGCCCAAGGATGTCTTTAAAGCATGTCTAGTTTCCAGACTGACGGTTTCCCAGATGTCTTCCCGAGTTTACTGAGCTGGATTTTACAGCCCAGAGCCTGTCCAAATCCATCCTGCTAAATGTGCAGTGTGTTCTTCTGTCTGTTTTATTATCGTAATATTTTTTATATTACCCTGAATCACACATACCTTTACAGTGTATTACATTTCTTCTTCCAGAAGGAAGACCATGCATATCAGTCAAGACAAAGAAGACATTACAATCCAAACATAAAAAAGATATTGAATGATCAAGTGTGGAGATTAATGTCTCTGTATTGACTGACATGCATGGCATTCCCTTCTGAAAAAGCAATGTAATATAAAGAAGATTATGATGATAAAAATAAATTTTAAAAAATAAAATAAAAACATTCCTATTCACATCATCATCAAATAGCTTTTCATCATTTTTTTCAGATTATTATTATTGTTCTCTTTTCTAAAACATTCAATCACTATACGTCATTTGGCTTGTAAAACAAATTTACCCATCATGAAATACTTCTCAGGCCAGTCTGGTTGAGATACTATACGTGTCATCATCAACAGGTAGTAAGTCATTTCCGTGTCCCACCAGTGTCCTGCCTCTATTAGTTCTCTTGCTGTCCTTCTCCATACACTTCCCTTCTCCCACCCGTTCCACACTGTCTTCAGTATCCCTGTTTTCACTGCTTTCATGCCCTCCCATATTTTGCTCTCTACCATAGAGTGCAGATAGTCGATATATATTAAGGGAAACATCCAATATCTTTCTTTCATATCCTGACTTACTTCACTCAGTAACAGACCCTCCCTATCTGACCACTTTCTTTCTAATGCCAGGGTCTTGTTTTTATGGCTGAGTAGTATTCCATAGTGTATATGTGCCACATTTTTTCCATCCATTCATCTGTTTGTGGACATTTGGTTGGTTCCATGTCTTAGCAATCATGAATAATGCTGCAATAAACATGGATGTGCAAGCACTTTTCTGACTGAGCGTTCTCCTGTCCTTTGGGTAGATATCCAGCAGTGGGATTGCTGAATCAAATGTAGTTCTATTTGTAGATCTTTGAGGAACCTCCATATTGTTCTCCACAGTGGCAATGTCCTGTGTGTTCTTGAAAATACTGTATACCCTAATGCTGTTGAGTGTGTTCCATAAGTGCCACGAAGGGCCGGCCTGTGGCCCTGCAGTGGTGCAAGCTGGATCCCACGTGGCCAGCTGCACAGTTCAGTCCTGAATGTGGGAGCTTGAGAAACAGGCTGGGCACCAATGCACACGTCCCCAAAATCCCAGAGAGCAGGAGAAACAGGCAGAGGGAATGGTGGTTGTGACCATGCTCCATAGAGGGTGCTTTCTCACTCTCCCTCTCTGCTTCTCTTTCTCTGTCTCTCTCCAGTGAGTTTATGGGCTCTCTGGCCAAAAAAGAAAAAGGAAAAAAAATTCTAATTGTAAGCAAGTTGGTAGATAGTGTTGTTCAAGTCTCCCATCTTTTTTGTTTACAAAAGGACAAGAAAGTTGAGACCCGAGGTTATTGGATTATCAAAGTGAGGGTCATTGGGGACCTTAGTGCTGTTTTTGCGGAAGCTAGATCAGAGAAGTTTAAAGGAAGGAAAGGTAAGAAAACAGTGATAGCAAATGTAGGAGAACATGTTAAATCGTTCTGAAGGAGTTTCCCTGATGACATTGTTTGTTTTTTAAAGAATGCAAGACACTGCATTTTCTTAAAGGTCATGGTGAGAATTCAGTTGGGAAAAGATGGTCTATTTAATTGCCCCAGCAAACCACCTGAAAACTCATTAGCGTAAGATAAATTAAGTGGGGACCAGCAGATGGTGTAATGGTTACAGTGCTGGACTCCCATGTAGTAGACCATGGTTTGAATTTGGACCCGGCAGCTTAAAACTCACAACAGGCATCTGTGTGTGTGTGCCCAAAATCCCAAGGAGAACTTAGAAGAGATTGGGTGTGGCCATCCCCCTAAGGGGTGATTTCTCGCTTTCTGTCTCTGTCTCTCTGGCAAGCCCATGTGCCCTATAGCAAAACTATCTCTCTCAAAATAATTAGGTGAGCCAGCAGTGACAAGGAGGTAAACACTGGATTCCGTATGGCCAACTGCAAGGTTCAAGTCCAAGACCCAGTGGCTCAAAAATCACACCAGGCACATGTGGTGTGTGTCTAAAATCTCAAAAGGAGAATGGAGGGGGATTGCAGACATGCCCATCCCCTGGGGAGTGATTTTTCACTTTTGTTCTGTCTCTCTCCAGCGAGTGCATGTATCCTATGGTAACCTCCAGGGTCTAGCAGCCTAATGACATTTCATTTTTATAACTTTTTACTGGATCAAAAACACAGGGATATACTTTGTCTACTTCGTGAATGGTCTCACATCTAGTTCTGCGCATTTAACACCCTCCCGTAGATAGTTGGATAGAAAGAGAGGCCTGGCAGGCGGTGGGGCGTGCTGCGCCCTAACAGCGGTGCAATAGTCTTTATTAACCTTCAGAAGACACCATCGCCAGAGGGAGGTGACCAGCCACCCAGAACATGGAGCTAAGTTAGGTCAGGTGAGTCAGATTTGATGGTGCCAGGTCCAGTGTGATAACTACTGGACACCCGGCCCTGACTCGAGCCTCGGTTACTGTGCAGACAGCTTGCTTCCTTTGAAAAGACGAGCTTGTGTTACCTGAAGCTCTGGAAACGTGCTGGTGTCCCCTACCGTCACTCTCCTTGAGGAAATGAAGGGTCTCCCAGGGCTTCCGCAGTTACTGCCACGAGTAGACCTCATAGACTAACATACGGTCCCTGGGTACAGCCATGCCACCGCCCCTAGTAAGCCAGACACATGCCCGCCAACCTCACGTCTCCTCACTTCCTGTCAAGGAAATAGATGGGCGTTCACATCAGGGGAGAATCGTGACAGTAACAGGACCCAGGAGCTGGTGTGCAGGACAAGGCAGTAGACCGCAGGCCGTGAAGACCGACGTATAGTTGGGTGACAGGTGAGTCATCCTGCTTCTCTGGTGGTGGTTAGAATTAGCAGGCCATGTCCAGGGTGTTTAGTCCAGTGTCTGGTTTGCAGCAGCTGCTTTATAAATGGTATTTTCAAAGCTGTCTTGATCACACTAAAAATGTGTTTTTCCTGTGAGTGGCTCGCTGACAGTTTATTTTCTAAGTGACAAAAGTGAACCGGTATGTCCCCAGGAACAAGTGAAACAAGTTTGAATTATTACAGCTCTGCGTGTCATCCCTTTACTAAAATTACCAGTAATTGTTGGGTCACAAATGGTGATTGCATTGGTCTCCATGACCCTCAGAAGATCTCCATCCTTCCGCTCTAGGAACATACATGCCAGCGAGGTCCATTCAGATTCTAGGTGTGGGCTCCAAGTGAGATCCCCAAAATAGTGAAACAGGCCCAGGCAGCTCTTTGCCCAGGCCCAACCCTCACCTACCGTTTAGGCTCCCAGTCCGATAGTGTTAGAAGAGGCCTTCCTCATAGTTCCTCTCCTCCTGTACCATCTTTCATGCAAATATGCACTGTTAGCTCGCATCTGTAAATAGGTTATGGTTTCTGAAGCAGGCTAGTGGGTTCTCAGATCATTGTAACTCTACCGTAGGCAAGGAAATTCCGTTAAGTTTTTTGTTATGTATGAAGAAAATGAGGCTGAAGGAAGTTATCCAGTGTCTTTGGCTGACTGTCATTGTCAGAACTCGAGCCAGATCTCTACGTTCTTCTCCTCGACTCTATTCCCAAGAATACTACCATATGTACCATCATGAGCTTTCATTCGAACCAGGAAGTCGACGTGTGAGGCCTGGCCAGACAGCTTCCCTCTGCTGCTTTGGCTTTTCTAATCCTGGCAGAAAAAGACCCCGTGCCTGATAAATCTGACAGAATTTTGAAGGGATTCATGGCAGTCCCCATATGCAGAGACAGACAACTAATACTGGGCAGGGTGGGAGTGGAATAAGATTGCAGATCTCACTAGGACAAAGAATTTTCTTGACCACATAGCCAAGTGAAAAATATCCTAACTGGCAGAGATCACAGGAAAGGAAATACACATGACTGCTAAAGCATGGAAATAGGCTTGATTTTCCTTGTAAGACAAAGGCAGATGACTACAGTGGCATGCCACCTATTCACCAATCAGGTTTTCCAACTTTATTGTTTATTACTAGTTGAAGTGTGAAGGAGGAAACACTTTCAGATATAGTTGGGCAGGGTATAAAATGGTAAGAACATTTCGATAACGTCTTTCAGAATTTTAAAAGCACCCCTTGCCCCAGCTATTCTAATTCTAGACATCAATTCTGTAGATCTGCTTGCACACATATTAGATAGATGTACAAGAATATTTAGTGCATCATTAGTATTTTAAGGAAAAGTTTAAGCAGGTAGGTCTGTTGGTTGAAGAATGATGGAATACATAATACAGCCATATGGTGGAACTCAGTATGGCTGTTAAAAGAATCAAGTATTCATTGTGCAAAGATGAGACAATAGTCAGGATATATACAAATTTAGAAGGTACAGAACAGTATATAACTGGGGGGGGGGAGGAGAGAACTGCACTACACACATTTCAATGTGAAGAGGCCATCTGGAAGATAAGACAGGAAAATGGGAACAGTAGTTACCCTAGAAGAACTAGAAACAGTGATGGACATGTCATTGTATAGCATTCTGTTCTGATTGATTTTTGCAAATTATTACCCATTTTAAAACATGCAAAAGAAAAACATGTTGAAAAATTGTCAGGTTAAGCAATATTCACCTTTCACTTAGTACTAATGTGTGTTATACCAGATTCTTGACATTAAAACTAATTAGTCAAAATTTAAATTTCCAAATTAAAAATTTCCAAGAGGAATATTAAAAATTCCGCTTGTTTGGAAACTCTTTGAAAGCATGTGCTGTCTTCCTCATCTTTGTACCTAATAGTACTTTCTAAAAGGTACTCGAATTTTCGTTACACGGTTCACCTCCGGTATTGAGAAGGGGAATGTAGTGCTCTGGTTAGTCCTAGACTAACCTGGGAACTGGCTTCTGTATGCATCTCATCCGCCTGCTCTTAGGGCATCCCAGAAGAGAGCTTGGCTCTCCTATACCTTTGTTTCCCTATCTCTCACTTTAGAAAAGTCCCTTCCAGCCCTGATACTCCGATGCCTGTGGTCCCTGCTCTTCATCAGCGTCTATATTCTTCTATAGTAATACTCTGCAGGTGTATATTGGCCAGACGTTGCATACACACTGGTATTATGAGGTGTACACTTAGGAATTAGACATTTGATTTGTATATTGCTAGTTACATTTAGTTATTTACAAAACTGATACTTTCCCATACATGTGTATAGTTTTTTGCACTCCTGGGGTCGGCGTACATAGTACACTGTTCTAGAAAAGTAACTTTAAAACAATGAAAACAACATTGCAGGTATTGAAGCATTGCTCCTCTGACAAGCACGACCGTCACACAGAGCAGACACAACTTGTTTTCTGAACTTGATTTGCTGCTTGGGGCTTCATCTTCTTTTCCTTGGAGTTAAATGCTGATCTCCTTGCTGCCAGGCTGTCTCTGGTAACATAATCATAGCTTGCCTCCCAGCCTTGAGTATGTCAAACACTTGCTTTGAAAATACAAGTTGTAAAAGTATGAAACTGGCAGTCCTTGGAGGAAGGAAAACTCTTGCCTTATCTGAGGTTTGCTAAGTTGTAAAACAGAGGTCCCCTGAGGACCTCAGGCTAGTGGAGTAAAGGCCGATGTACATTTTTGTCAAAAATCAGTTTTCTAGTAGTAGAATATTTTGGATTTGTCACATATCAAGCCATGATTTAAACATATTCCTATTTACTAATACAGTTCTTATATTTTGACTTTTCTAAGTGATTACTATGCAGTTTGTCGTTTTGTGTAATACGCAATTGTATAGATTGAAACCAGGACTGGGTGGGGCACAGCTAGTGAGCACATGGTGGTGGCGGTGGTAAGCACGGTGTCCAGGTCTAGATTTCTGAGTGGATGGTCAGTGTGTCTGCTGAGGCTAGAATCAGGGATCAGAACCATGATACTGGACCCCGGATGCGGCCACTTCCTGATACTGCCAGGTCATTTAAATACTGGCACCGCCGGCCCCCATAGAGAAAGCTCTGGGGAGATGTCTGCCGGAACCAGCTGGTTAGGTGCAAAGAGACCAATGAATAGTGAGCTGTTGACTAGTCTATAGATACAAGGATTCTCATCTGGAAATGTGAAGCGCCATAATAGTAAGAGTAGAGAACTCTGTGGTGCATGTAGTTACGAGGACTCGAGTTTCTGATTCTAGAGAACCAGTGCTCTATGCCAGACGCCCCCTGTGTGATTTTTATAACTGTCTATTTCTAGTGAGCAGCTGTGTATTCAGCACTGTGCTTGTCTCGATGGAGACAGGGTTAACACCCTTCTCCTTCCCTTAGGATCTGAGGGTCACTAAACTGAATCACCAGCGGAGCCCAGCACAGTGAAGTACTTTACTAAGTGCTCTGCTAAGTACTGAGAACACGTTTCTAGATGTGAGACTTGGTAAGAGTTGCTTAGGCAGAACGGAAGGTTTGGTTCCCCGGGTGGGAACATTTTAGGATCAGATGACACTGCTTGTGGGCTAGAAAAAGACATTAGTCTACCCACCAACAGAGGATAGGCATGAGGGGACAGAGATCTGACCAGCTGAATAGAAACCCAAAAGGAAACACTTTCCCCATCAGCATAAAAATACTTTGAAGCAGGCAACCAGAACAGGAAGGGTGCTGCAGGATGCCAGATGTGTCCCTCTGGCCGATGAGCTGACCACCATCAAAATAGGACTCTCTACTCCCAACTTAGCAGTGCCATTGTGAGCTGGAGGACAAGCCTCAGGCTGACTGACCTCGGGGGTATTTATACTTCACTCCTGGAAGATGAAGGTCAGTCTACCAACCACGTCTGGTTGGTGTTAATTGCATCTGTTGTCATGGTGGCCCTGAGGCTGATATATAAATTGGGACAAGTTAAAGGGCTGCAGGCTGAATGTCCTTCCTGATGTGTGATGGGGTCCACATGTGCAGCCCAGTCTTCAGCGGCAGTGACTTCTCCACTTACCCCACCCAACTTACAGAGGGTATTGCGCGTCGTACCCGCCTCATCAGGAGGTAGTTGATAAAGCTCTCGTGTAGGCCTCAACGTACTACTATTGAATTTTATTTTTAAAGGTTAATTTCTCAAATTAAAACTAAAATACCTTACACTTCTTTTCCAGCATGCTACAAATGAAAACTGATGAGAAACTGAATCTGTCTGATGAGAACACAAGCTGCCCTTTGAGCCCCATTAAGACGTGCCTTAATCGCCCCGTTGGGTGGAATCTGAATTTGACCCCGTCTCTCGCGAGCTGTACAGTCCATAACCAAAACCCCAAAAGTGAAGAGAACTAGATGGCAGTTCTTGCACTGTCCTTATTTTGTACATCGACACTTTCTGCTGAATAAGCATTTATCAATTGACCTTGAAATCGCTCTAGTCCTGTAATTTGTCTATATATTAAATCATGAGCATTAATCATTTTAATTATTTTCTTTGTATTTATATATGTTTTACACCAGATCATTGTGGAATTTTGTAGTATGAAAGGATTTTGATGTTTTCTCTTTTTTTTAATGGTATCTTGTGGATTTTTTATGCCCTAAGTTAAAATACATGATTGTCCCACTTTTTGTTTCTGTACACCAAGTTTCAATATCTGGCACATCGTGTGACTTAGAAAGCTGGTATTGTAAAGACTGTGGTGACGACTTGACCCGTGAACAGCTGTCTAGCAGGTGGATACCAACTACCTCGAAGCAAATCGGTCAAAGAAATGGCAGAAGAATCTCTAGACTGTCTCTTTCAAAGTTATGTATGTATAAAGAACCCAGCACCACCAGTTTGTCATCAAACAGCATGCTTCCATCCCCAAGATAACCGGGACCCCAGTTCTCTGTATTTTAGACCTAGTCTGTGGCTGTAAGGACAAGGCACACTTGCACGTTTACTCAAATACCTGTGCCTCTTGGTAGAATTGTTTGGTTTCTTAAGTTACCCGTTCTGAAAAATGGTAAATGGATTTACATCTGCTGGTTTTATAGTATTTTAACCATTTATTTAAAGTTTAACGAGATGTCTTTTAGAAGGATAATATTCCTTACCTTTAATACTGCAAAGCATAGCTTCAGCAGTGGCTACAGAATCGTGTATAAAACTTGAAGAGTAAGAATACGGAAGATTTGGTGCTTAAATTTATTTTCCCGTATCAGAGAAAGCAAGCGTCACTATGGTGGTACTTATAAGAACGGGGAAACGTTTGGATAGCCTGGCCACATACCAATGGGATTTCAGTTCACTGATTTCCAAAGACCTCTCCTTATAGCACATTCTGTGTACCTTTCAGTCCTTCTTTCTCTTTACCCCCTCAAAAATTCTTCTTAAAACGACAGGGATTTAACAAAGACAACCCCATAAGAAACCTGCAGCATAGGATAAGACACCAAGCCAATACAGTGAAGACCAGTCATGTCTTTCATTGATGTATAGATCACTACCGTCTCTGCCTTTCCCTTCCCTGCTTCTGTAAGTGACTCGTTTACAGTCCTGAGCTCTACAAAGCACATGGACGTACATAGCACAGCCGTCTGGTCTTAAAAACCCACGGTCTTACTTCAGCTCTCAGAAAATTAGGTAAATGGCCTTTGGTTAAAAAACTAAAGAAAGCACAATTATTATTAAAACAGATCCATAGTAGGACATGTCTGTTCTGAATACATAAAGGGATAAGAATAAAAGGTGTTTCGGGGTATCAGAGGACTGTTTTCACATTGTTTAGGTTTTGTACATCAGGCAAGTGTCAGACTCAAGATAACTGAAATTGACAGGAACTCCTCCCACTTAGTAGAGAGCACTTCATAGCACATTCTTCCCCCAATTATTAATTATTATCCATAGTATTTATTATTTTATTATGCCAAAAACTTAGGAAGTACCTTCCGGTGGTGGGACCCAGAAAGGGCCCACTCCAGGGAGCACGCACAGACTGGGGAGGAAGTGACCCTGAAGATGGCCGTACCCTTGTGTTCTTGGCGCAGGAGTCCCGAGGCGAGATCGTCAAGATGACCAGTGGACCAGGACGGTGAGTGCTCCACTATCGCCAGCAAGGAGCCCCCTTCCTGTCCATCTGGTGCTGCGCCTGCTCTTGATCTAGCGTGTCCGTGTTCTGGGCACATTCACGTGCTGGAGCTGCTACCGAAGTTGCACGTGGGAGCTGCTAGCTCATTGCTTGAGCTTTCCGCGGTGCCACGATTCCGAAAGGAGCATTCATAAACACTGGGGGTCCTATTTACTGTGCAGACTCCCTGGACCCCTGGGATTCGGGTGATTCTGTGACCAACAGACGGTCCTTGGGCTGCAGACAGACACTGTTGTGATGCACTAGCGTGAGCCAAAGTGACATGGAATCACATGTCGGAAAGACACCAGGCTTTCCTGATTCTGACACAAGGCTAACTTTATTAAAGCAACCGAGTGATTTTGAAGGGTGCCACCTCCACCATCTAATCCCTATCTTCACTGAGAAGCTGTGCAAGGTGGAGTTTACTTCTCCCCAGCGCAGCTGTTTTAGCTCTTCTTGGTAATCTCATCTTCATTTCGGATTCGGGCTCTGGAACATCATGATCGCTAAACAAATGTTGAAAATACACCGATTTAGACAAAAGCTTTAAAACCAGTTTATTTTAAATAGAATATCCTGACTCCAGTCAGGAACCTTAAAACTAAAATCCTAAGCAATAACCCCAACTTGGCTGTTCAGCTAAGGAGCCGTGGGAGACCTAGCTTAGCTAGCACCGTAGCGCACTATCTGGGGCGCTGGGACAGAGAAAATGCACACTTCAGCTGCAGCTTGTAACTAAACAGGGACCATAAGGGCATCCCGAGGATGCTTTTGGAACTCAAGCAGTGGAAAAATATTAAGTTGTCTTGACTTCGTCAATAACTCTCCAAAACACTATAAACAAAGATATTTCAAGGCTTACTCTAAAGATATGTACTGAAAATATATACAGTTTTACTAATCAAGAGATGGATGCAAGACAGCTGTAAGCTTTCTTCCCCAGCACTGGCTTGACAAACAGAAAATAAACACAGGCCTAAGTGACCCTGATCAGAAGCAGAACTGTTCTACCACTGACGGCGTAGAGCCCAGATGTCCCTACATCACGAACTTCCTACCTCAACATCAAACAGGAATCACAGCACGAGGTCTTGTTCGACTTAGTGGAAATGCCAACTGTGAGAACACTCTGAAGACGATTACTTGATCAGAGAATTCCAGACAACGTGTCCAAACAGCTACTTACAGCTTCACTGTCCTGTTACTGTTTCTCTCATTCTCCAAAAGGCCTCTTGGTGCCCCTTTAGCTGAGGAAGACACTGCCAAACGCTCCAGTGGTTGCCCAAAAGGACAGCGGTCAAACCCTCTACACCTGTTTTTTCCTACACATACACACCTACAGTAAGGTGCAGCTTATAAATTAGGCTCAGTGAGAGATGAAACAACTAAGAGATGAGTACTGTAGTAAAAGGTGAGTGACTGTGGTCTCTTGCAAAGTTTTATTGTACATACTCAACTCTCAGACCAGGGTTGGCCACAGATAATGAAACTGCAGACAGCAAAACCCCAGATAAGGGAACTACCGTACAGCCTTTCAGTACTTCTAGACAAAAAGAAGAGAACGCAGGCAGCCTATCTGTGTCCTCAACATGTATGGCCTACCTTTCTGAGTCAGCCTCAGCCGTCGTGTGTGTCCCATCCGTCCTGGCTGAAGCTGTCCTCTTTTTCCGTCCTTAAGGAGACAGTGTGATCAATTAGCAAAATTTACTTATTGCTTACCACCTTTTCTTTTTCTTTGAGAGATTTTTTTTTTTTGGCTACAGGGCGCGTAAGCTCGCCAGAGACACAGAGACAGAAAGCGAGAAATCACCCCCACGGGGATGGCCACACTGCAATCCCTTCCTTCTCTTCCATTCTCTTCTTGGGATTTTGGGCACGCATGTACGTGCACCCGGCATGAGTTGAAGCCAAGTCCAGGACTCGAACTGTGGTCAACTACATGGGAGTACAGCAACGTAACCATTACACCATCTGCTAGCCCCTATTTACCACTTTTCATCTAATGTCTGGGTTATGTAAATCTTTTATCTTCAATACAGCATTTCTCTTCAACTCAGGTCCTTGTTCCCAGCCATCTTGATACCACTTAGCAACACCAAAGAGAAAAGAAACCCAAGCAAGATAAAAATTCACATTAATTTCTTTTCTAAGTGTGTAATGGGCAGAGGAAAACATGGACATTCCAGACAAGTTATAAGGCAAATTCTGGTTCACTGCATTTTAGGACAAAAGCACATGAAAATAGAGTGCCTCTATTACACCTGTGGCACAGGGTACCCGCAGAACATTAAGGCTAGGAAGTTAGGCTAGGTCCTTAAAACAGGTCCTAAAGGAACAGAACTCTCACCAGTAAGGTCATGGCTTCTTGTAAGAAATGTCCTAAGATATATTTCAGCATAAAATATGTATACTGGTGGATGCAAAAGTTTTACTTTTACCTAAAATGTAGAAAGTCAAGAAGAGAAAGTTTGCCCTGTGATGTTTCTCCTTTATGATGAAGGAGATGTGTACATGAAGTCCTGGCTGAAGACACGGAGTTCTCACGGCATAGTGACTGCCTAACGCCAGCTGACCCCATGAACCGCTCGGGTGGCTGAAAATGACACGCTCCCCTGTGACTGAAAATGACACGCTCCTCTCTTGCTAGGGTTCTGTGGGTTTTGTCATGCCTCACTTATTTGCTTTTACTAATGTATTTACCCCTGAAAACATGCAACAATACGAGACTGATGTGGAACATCTGGCAACTGGTGTTTAGTAACTGCTGAAAACAATGTTATGGACAGATTCTACTTTAGGGACAAGAGGACATCTGTGTAGAAAAGGCCCCCAAGGATCTCCCAGAGACTGAGTCATGGCGGGCTCACGGGGACTGGCGGTGTTCCTCACAGCGTTTCCTGGGATGTGCTTTCTGATTTCTCTGTAATGAGCATGCATTGCTTTTGTAATAAGGAAATAATAAAACGATAGAAACATCTTGGAGTTCAGATTCCTTTTCCAAGTAATGCCCTACCAGTCAACCAACAAATTCCCTGTGTTCGATACCCCTTAGGAATTAAAGTGGGGAAAAGAAAGAAAAAGAAAAACCTCAGACACGTTCTGTGGACATAAAACACCACTTAGCAGTATAAAGGATAAAACACATAGCTATAGGACCAGCAGTTAGTGTAATGGCTATGTTGCTGGACTCCCAAGTCCCAGACCTGGTGGCTTAAACTCACACCGGGCACGTGTGCATGCGTGCCCAAGATCCCGAGAGAAGAATGGAGAAGGGATTGCAGCATGGCCATGCCCTCCGGGGGGTGATTTCTCACTTTCTGTCTCTCTGTCTTTCTGGCGAGCATATGTGCACTATAGCAAAAACCTCTCCAAAAACAAACAAACAAAACACATAGCTATAGCATGAAACCACCATCTAAGCAGATCTTCATTTAATCCAAATAGCCTTTGGCAATAGGATCTTTTGGATCATATTTCTTTTGACCAAAAGCACGTGGAGTAACACTGATTTCATAATCTTTAGACACTGCATAAACTAGTATTAACTCAAAGAAGTTTGTATAAAGTTAAAGACACCTAAGACATTTAAAAGTCTTTATCCCTAAGGAAACAGAGATAAGGAACGCTGTGAAGTGAATTTTTCACTGAAGCAACGCTGGGAACAGGCCTCCCAGGCAGATAGGCCCACACGCTACCTCTGTTGGTCTTCTGCCGAGCAGACCGTGACGCTCGTGTGACTTCTGCGCCCCTCACAGGAGTCATGTACACCTCGTTATTCTTTTCTATTAAAAAAAATAATAATACAACCATGTAAGAGAGCACCTGAAATATTCTAAATAGTCGTTGCAGGTCTATATCTGTTATGAAACAAGTGACCAACAGTCCCATTAGCAGCGACTAAACGTTATCATAAGTCATTGTTCCAGCAATTGTGAATACCGGAAAAAAGGCAAAACTCCTAAAATGGTGGTCACATAGAAAGAAACGAATGCAAAAATAACTCGAAAAGTAGGATGAACACATCAGTAACACTATCTCCCAATCGATCAGAAAAAAATTCATTTATCGAATCCTACCAACCAGAGAGAAAGGTGTCAGTAAGAGCCTGACGTTCAGGCTGGCGCGTCCTTACCGTCTGCCCCGGGACAAGCAGCCGCGGCCGTGCTGGCCCCCTCTGCCGCTCCGGCGTGGTCACCACACTCTTCATCTCCTTTCTCTAACTGAGCCTTGATTTTCTCCAAAGCTCTCAGGCATGTCCTGTCTTTTACTTGCTATAAAAGAAAATATTAACTTTTTTTAATATGGCATTTTCTAATCTTTCAATGCCACGTTGTACATTGTGGCAGTTGTGAGATCCATGAAGGAAACCCTTCTAGTGAGCATAGTTGGGTTATTATAGCACAGTTTGAGAACCAGGCACGTCCTACTTTGGTAGCAGCTAAAGACACACTAAGAGCAGTTGAAATTCCTTTACCTGCAGCATCTTATTCAACAGCACTAGAAGATCTTTTCCAAAACTGCTACTGAGTTCTAAGGAACTCAAGGCTTTTGTATAGACCCGAATTTCTGGTGAACATGGACTTGCTAAGATCGCATTGCAGATTTTTATAGCCAAATTGTCATGTACTGTAAAAGCCTAGAAAATGAAGAGGAAATTCTTTGTAAACCAAAAATGTATAATTACAACTCCTTATCCAAGGAATAAACATTTCCAATTATCTGGCCACAATCCAAAATGCAAAATTTCTAAAACCAAATTTAGTGGCCCTCCATACACGTGATTTCTCACAGCGGACGCTGCGACACAGGGCTTTGCGCCCCTCCTCGGGCGCGTACCCATAACCCTAATCCTGCAGGTGCAGGACGGAGGGCAGTGAGGGCAGTGGGCCCTGCCAGAGGGCAGCCCTCCTCTCCTGCAGGGTTAGGTTCATCCACCCGTAACTGGCCAACTCGCAGGGAAAATGGCCCAGCTTATGCAACTCAGAGGGACATCCGCCTGCAGCATCCTGTGTGGAGTTCAGGGCCCCTGCGCATGGCAGCCCACACAGATCTTAACTACTTTATTAATACCCTCTCCTTTCCGCTCAGCACATCAATCTTTCCAGTAAGTAGCTTCCATGCCATTAAACCTTTCGTTCTCAGTCCTGGATGGTTTCCCAGACCAAGTAAGGTGAACTCCAAGTGCCTGCCCTTGGCCTGTAGAGCGGTCTGCAATCCGCCCGCAGTGCTCAGCCCTGACAGCCCATTTAGAACCCTTCGCCAGGAGGGCCTTCCCAGCTCCCGGACGCGGTTCGCCTTGTATTCACTGCAGCACCTTCCCTCTTCTCCCGGCCCACCCCGCAGCCGAGTTGGAGCAGAGCGTGAAGATGGCCACTGCGGTGCTGTGCTCACGCCCAGCCTCCCCGTGTCCTGCCTACTGTTCTCTAGAATCTCTCCAGGGACAGAGAACACTGCACCTCGGACAAAGGACGCTGCCACTGAGTCCAAGTGACTCACAAGGCAAATGCTGTGGATTTAACTGGTGGGCCTCCGCCGTCACGAGTGACACGTTACCTCTCAAGGCCTCACCAAGTGCCGTGGAAGATACCACGTCGGCTTGAGTTTAGCGTGGGTCGGCCTGCGGTTGGCGTCTACCAACTAAAAGCGGGGATGCTTGAAGCGCGTGTCCGTCCTCCGAGTCAGCAGCTGTCACCCTGGGGGTCCCAGACTGCAGGTGTTACCCGCGTCCCTGACGGTGAGTACCGGGGGCCGCATGGGGTGAACTTTTAGTAACGTCAGCCACCAGATGTCGTCTCCGCATCGGTTACGTCCACTTTCCCGACGTCTCCGCGTCTCCCCAAAGGCCGACTGCCTGCTTTGTACGTGCCACCATAGACGCGGCCTCAGTGTTGTGAGGGCTGTGTGGGAGGGGCCGTTTACAAACGCAGCTCACAACGGCACGCTCCTACGATCCCTCGCATCCACAGGCTGACACACTTACCCACCTGGTAATCTTGTGAGTTCTTGGCCTGAGGGTTTAAGCCACTTGGTCTTGTCAGATCTACAAGTAACTCCGCAACATTCATGACGTCCACGTCAGCTAGCGGGGAGGAGGCAGGGGCGCTGGCCAGCGTCCGCAGAGTTGGGAGGAAGGCTTCCTCAAAGCACTCCTGGTTGGCCCTATTGAGACAATTCGACAGCACGTGGGCGGGACGTCTGAGCAGGGGAAACGCACTCAGACGTGCACCGTGTGTGAGATGCACCCTGGAGAGAGCGGCTGTCTCATCGGGAACATGCACTCCACCTAAGCTCTTCCCAACGTGTACCCACCGAAGGCAGAGACCAGGGGACACGGGAGGACGGCGCCGTGGCCTCCGCTCAGCGCTGACTCCGTACCTGCTCGCGTATGCAAACATGGGGAAGAACACGCCCAGGCAGTGCCGCAGGTGCACGTCCTCCTCAGTCACGGGGTTGTACCACAACAGAACGAGGCGAGAAAGGAGTCTGCTGCTGACCAGGAGCCCAGAAAACATCAGCTTGGCCAGTCCTTCCGCAACGCTCGTCCTGAGCTCAGACACCTAACAGAGAGGATGTGCATCAGATGTCTTAACGCTCACTTCTTCTTTATTTCATAAGACTTTTTAAACTTTTATTTATTTCTTTTAATTTGACCAGAGAGGGACAAAGAGAAAGAGAACGTGAGAAAGCCAGCCACCAGGTCCAGGACTTGAACCGCGGCAGCCGTGTGGGAGTCCAGCGCCCTTAACCACCATGCCACCTGCTGCCCCCTTTCGCTTTCTTTTTAAATCCCACACTGGAGTCTGTTCTGCAGTATGTGTGTATGAACTATCCAAAAGTCAGTCATGCTATTACAAATTTCTGAAAGTACATAAAGAGATCTGGGGGCCAGCAGGTGGCACGGAGGTTGAGATGAGTCGTATTTGTAAATAAATACATGCGGGAATGACACTTCATAATCATAGGCCCAAGAGTGTCTTACCTCACTATCTAAGAAATCAGAAAGGAGTTTCAGGATGTTCTTAGCTGTAGCAGCCTCTTCGACTTCCTCCAACTCTCGCTCATCTTCACTGTCTATTTCTGAACCTTCACATTGAAAGGCCTGGAGTTTTTTCGTTTTAAATGGCTCAGTCCCAAACATCATCAGCTGGTCAAAGATGGCCTTTAACGCGCTTATTTTTATTGTGATGTCATCAATCTGCAAAACCTAATGGAGGTGGTCCCCACCAAGGAGCACAATTCATTAAACTGTCTCAATTCTGTTTGCTCTGTGTGAAACTAATACGTACCTTAAGTTTTTCTTAGTCACATCTCAACAGTAATCACACTTGTGAAGAAAACATTACTTTCATCATTAAAATTCCCATTTTAAAAACATGAATTTTTATTTGTGGCATAACTTTAGAGCTATCTGCTTTAAGAGAAGTTCATCTTCACTGTCAAAAAAATTATTAGAGTTAGTCATGCTGAGCCATATTATTTATTCCTTTTATTTAAAAAAGAATGGATGAAACCTTCAACTATTTTTATGTCCTTAACATCCAGAAGAACTGTTCAATTAAATTGATTATATTTTAGCCTATCAGAAGAACACTACTCTGACCACAGGAAAGCGTCATCAGACAGCAGGACTTCTCTAGGTTACCAAGTCTCACTGCACATAAATTTCTCTCTTATTAGCTCAGTAACTTCAGATTGCAATAACAGCAATTTTTTAAACTGGCCTTTAAAGAAAGAGGTGAACCATAAAACCCAGCAGTTTGTATGAGTCTGTCCTGAGTTTAATAAACACCAAATTTTAAAATCATGAAAAAACAGAGTTCAATATTTCTACTATGAAATATTTCCAATATTCCTCAATACATTTAAATTTTGTTCAATGATAAATTAACTATAAAACTTGGCCTTTAAAATGGATAAAAATCAGGCCAGCTAGCTCAGTGGCATGCCAATTAAGTCTGTGTGTCGGTCACGGGATCCCATGTGGCCAACAGCAGTTCCAATCTCAGCCCTAACCGTAGAAAACATGTACAGTCCAAGTGTGCAGGCACGCCCAGGAGCCCGACAGGGTGGGGAGGGAGCGGGAGAGGGGCTGTAGCATGGCCGGGCCCACCGAGGGGTGCTTACGATCTCTGGCAAGGGCACCAGCTCTAACAACGAAAAAGAAAGGAAGGCATCATGAACTAAAAAGAGTTAAAAAAAAAAAAAATCACCTGCAGATTGATCTAATTAATGAGAGGAGAAAAATGGCTCAGATCTTCAGAACTTTGAAGGAAAACATCAAGAACACCTCTCATGTATTTTCTGGGGTCGAAGCCGGACGCATGGGAACTGCCGTGAGCAAGTCCTGCCGTGCCCTCTCAGCAGTGGCCTGGCCTCCCTGCTCTTCTGCCCCATGCTGGGTAGCAACCGTTCTCAATACTGATTCTCATTTAGAAGAAAGTTTTTAAATGAGGGTTAAGTCACTGGACCCCCACATGGCCAGATGCAGTTCGAATCCTGGACCCAGTGACTTGAAACTCACGCCGGGCACGTGTGCATGCATGCCCAAGATCCTAGGAGGAGGGTAAAAGAGAAGGGATTATGGCCTGGCCGTCCCCTCGAGGGGTGGATTTCTCACTTTCTCTCTCCAGCAAACACACACACCCTAAGGCAGAAAAAACATTGGGGGGAGAGATTTTAAAAAAATAATTTCCATTTCTTGCCTTTCTAATAAATATTTACACATTTCTTACATCAATTTTTTTTTTTTTTTGGAGAGATTTTCACTGTAGGGCGCGTGCGCTCGCCAGACAGACAGAGAGAGACATAGAGACAGAAAGCGAGAAATCACCCCCCAGGGGGGATGGTCACGCCACAATCCCTTCTCCTCCATTCTCCTCTCGGGATCTTGGGCACGCACGCACTCGCGCCCGGCGTGAGATTTAAGCCACCGGGTCCGGGACACGAACCGCGGTCGACTACGTGGGAGTCCAGCGACATAGCCATTACGCTAACTGCTGGTTCCCTTACATCAATTTTTATGATATGATCAAAACTTTAAAAAAAAAAAAAAAAAGATTTTTTGCCGTACCTCCCCACACACAAGACAGCTATTTTTCCCTAATTTAAAAATCTTCCATTGATGGTCTTATTCAGAGTTTAATGTATTTTGACTATGAATCCCTTTGGGGAAACTTATAAAAGCTAAAAATCCCAGCCCAGAAAAATATACGAAATCTCACATCCAATTTCTTTTCACTGCATGTGACTGATATCATTCAGTTTTTAGGAGACAATCTCAACATGCACTGACCCTACCTGACCTGTGAGGGCCTGGGACGATCAGGAACCACCATTTCTGGCTTTTCTCACCCAGACGGCTCCTTCTCCCTCCCCGAGTCCCCTTCTGTGCGTGGCTTCTCCCCACAGGACTTCTCTGCCCGCTCGTTTCCAGGGGCGCTCCCCTCTGGACTGCACGCTAGGCCAGCAGCTGCCCCGTGCTCCTTCCCCACGCTCACCTCATTCTCCTTGAGCCCCCAAGAGGACTGGCCGGCTAATGTGTATTTGGTAGGTATGTTATCCAACTAACCAAAGGACATCTTAAAGAGCTGACTTCGCCTTTTCTACAGTTATTTTAGTAAGAAATAAAAACTACTGCGTCCCCAATCACCCATAGTTACCATGGACAAACCCCAGAATAGGTACACTCAGTGTCAGCGTTACCATCAGAGATGAGTACTTGGAGGAAAATCAAACTCTTGTCACAAAACAAACCTACCTGTAAGAGTAATAGGAAGTGTTTGCTTGCAAAATCCTGATTCTGCAGCCCGCAGCATCCCAAACAGAGGACAGCCAGGTTTCTCACTACGGGATGGACACTGATTATCCCAGGGAGAATCTGAGGTGAATTAGAAACGGGGTGCCTTAGGTGAGGGCAGTCATTCACAACAGTGCATTAAACCACGGCGCCTGAACACTCGCGGGGCTGACGGGTGTGCCTGCCCAAAACCGGACGGGAAGGAACGGAGGAGGGACGGCAGCGGCTAGCCCATCGGGGAGGGCTCTCTCTCTCTGGAGAGCACATACCCCCTCTCGCAGTTAAAAACAAGGGACCAGTAGATGATTTAACAGTTGCATTGCTGGACTCCCACATGGCCGACCATGGTTCGAGTTTGAGTTCGAGTTCTGGGCCCAGTGGCTTGAAATTCACACCAGGTCTAAATGTGTGCGTGCCCAAACTCCTTAGAGGAAAATGGAGAAGGGATTGCAGCATGGCCATCACCCCAGGGGTGTGACTTCTCACTTTCTGTCTTTCTGACAAGGGCACACATCCTCATAGCAAAAATCTCTCTCAAAAAAAACCAACTTGGTCAAAATGGCAATTACTTCCCTATTGTCTGTTAACTCAAAGGAATCATTTTAATTTTTCTAGTTTTCTTTAAATGTAACTGTTACATTTCTAACACAGAACAACACAGCCACAATAATTTTCTGAGACACAGCTTAGTCACGAGACACCTTCCCTTCCCGGCTCAAACTGACTCAGTGGCTTCCAGAGCTCACAGGACAAGACAAGCCCTTCTGTGACGCGCACTAACCCACCTCGCAGTCTCCCCAGCCTCACTCGGACCACGCTCACACGGTCTCCATCCATGCGAATGGTCTGACCCACACGCCTGTCAGTGCTGTGCAGTGTGCCTAACGGACGCCACAAACCGGGGCCACATGTGCCATTTTTAGGCTTCGAGTGGTCACAATAAAGAAGAGAGTGGAACTAATCTTGATGTGCTTTATTTAGTCACATCACCAAAACATTATCGTGCAAAATGTAGCCGATATAAAAACTACTGGAGAGTGGCCCTACCCTCCAACCGCACACTGCTTTCATACCCAGCTGTTTGTGCCTGGGCCTCTTCTGCACTGCTAACAGGAGCACCTGGCACCGAGTGACTTTCGGGGACCAGAGGCTTCTGGGACCCACAAATGAGGTGCTGTGATGTCCAAGGGGGTGAGGCTGGCTCCGGGACAGGGACATGGGGGCGGGACCTGGGGGAGCAGCTGTGTCCCCAAGTTTCTGTGTCTGCTTCCAGTTTCGTCCCTCTGCTTTGTCCCCACCGGGACTCAGTCATGGGGTTCCACACGAATGACATTACCACACCCAAAGTGGCTATTCTGGGACCAGTGGATGGCGTGAGAGTTACGTCACTGGACACCCATACAGTCAACTACGGTTCAAGTCCCAGACCCATCAACTTAAAACCCACCTGGGGCACATGTGCATGCATGTCCAAGATCCCGAGAGAATGGAGGAGAAGGGATTGTGGTGTGGCCATCCCCCCTGGGGGGTGATTTCTCACTTTGTCTCTCTGTCTCTGTCTCTCTGTCATAGCAAAAATCTCTCTCTCAAAAAAAAGTGGCTATTCTAGGCTTCCAGTACTCCTGCGCTTGAGGCCAACACGGAGGTGACTATCTTGAGGGGTTAATTTGGAAGTCCTTGAAGTCTACACATCAGCATTTCCCGTCATGGGATCCACACCGTGTCTCCACACAGGAAGACACCAGGAACTAAATACTCCTGACGTGTTTCGGTTTTGCTTTTTAAAGATATTCTGTATTTCTATCCAGTATAAAATAGTTTTTAAAAAACTATTCAAAGAATATTTATAACTTATGCACCAGGTCCTTTACACAGTATCTTATTTAATCCTCACAATATATATGTATTTATGTTTACCATTTTTACGCATAGGAGTTTAAAATAATAACCTTTTCGTTCTTACCCAAAAGAACATACATAATACTTGTAAAGTGACAGGAGCGGACCTCAAAGGACATCGACATACCAAAGACTCGATGATCCCATTCATCGTCGCCCCGATGCCAGTTGAAATGGACATCTGCTTCAACAGCTCATAGCACAAAACAAGACACTTCTGTAGCGTTTCCACGTCATTCTAAAATGAAAAACAAACTAGTCAGCACAGGAAGAGTGCCCGCTCCCCAGCTCTGGGTGCTGGCTCTCTACACGCATCACTCTACACGCAATTCCCGGTGGGCTGACGCCGACTTCCTGTGTCACTGAGCTGGCCCAGCTGTTTCCTATTTGGGACGCACATATGTCACTGTTTTGTGACACTCCTTTTGGGTGTTCCGCAGGTCCTTTGAGCATGTCCAAGAGGGAACTAACTCACCGTTACACAAATCTCTCCTCCTCCCATGCTCGGTCTACGGCATCTACCCAGCTGTCCAAACCAAGAGGCCAAGGACGAAATCACAGTAAGTCTAGTTCCCCTGGCCAGACAGTCCACAGACAGGGAGCCAATGAAGATGGGCTACAATAATCACCGTTAACTCGAGACCTTTCCAAGTCCAAACATGGAAAGGAACATGAGGGGAAACGTCTTCATGTTAATTCACACCGCTGTTATATATTTCTCTGAAGAAAATCCCTTGGCAATCTTATGAGCTAAAGAAAACGAGTTTACCTGAGAAGATTAACAACAACTGACATTAAGTATGAAAAAAGTTATGTCCACACCTTCTCTATGTGGACTTCTTTAATTTCAAGCTGTTCTGTCTCTTTCAACAGATTCATTTTGGCATCTTCTAATGCACTGATTTCTTCTTTTAATCTTGATGCCTGGTTAAAATCCTGTAAGGCAACACAGTTCTCCAGAGCTTCTTTTGCTTCAATGAGTTTAACTTTAATCTCAGCCATCTGAGGAAAGATATAAACTGTTTCAACACTGAATGCTAAAACTATTATAAGGAAATCTTTAGCAAACAAGAGCATTATTTAAAACATCAGTGATTCAGAATTTAAGCAGACTCAGGCTAGGCACATACAAACTTGTAATATTCCTGAAACAAATCTTTCAGGATGACAAGCTGATCACATTTTAGGTATTCCTACAGTTAATACTTAATCATGTGGCTTTCACAACTCCACGGCAAGAAGAAATGAGAGCCTTTCACAACTACACCACACCCGGGCGGCTCCGTAATTTAAGAGCGTACCTTGAGCTCCCTCCTCCGTGCATCAGCTGGGTCGTCAACGCCGACAGTAACTATGGGTGCCCGAATCTCTGAGATGATTTCTGTGATCTGATCATGAAAAGTTGTAATTCAGAGTACACGCTTTCAAATACTGGGTCGTCTGAAAAGTCATGATGCATTTTTGCATAGAAAAACAGAAAAATGTCATGACCTTCCCGACCAAATATGGTTTACATCAGCAAATGATACCAAACTGCTACGTAAGCTCCCAAGCAGTTTTCGCCATCCTCTGAAAATAGAGCAACGATACAGGCAAAAATAACGCACTTTATTTCCTGGGCCATTTCAGAATCAAGACCAAAGAATACATCCGGCTAAAACAAGCAACGTGCAGGCGAAGTGCGGGGGCACATGGACATCGGAGGGAGCATCGTGCACAGAATGTCGGGAACAGGACCCTGGGCCAGCTGCTGGCAAGACGAAGGTGGATGAAGCCCACACAGCCGACTGCAGCTCCAGTCCCGACCTGGCGGCTCGAAAACTACACCGGTGTGGCCAAAATCCCAAGAGAAAAATGGATTGTGGCATGGCCATCCCCTCTGGGGAGTGATTTCACTTTCCCTATCTCTCTGTCTCTCTCTGGCAAGGGTACACACCACATAGCTAAACTTAAAAATTATGGTTTTATAACATTACAGGGCCTAAGATTAGACACTATAAACTAAAATGGTCTCTTTAAACCCTGCAGTCCCTGCCTTGTTCAGCAATGTGGCGTTAAGTATGGAAACACAGAAGCCCCTCGACCCTGTCTGGTGCACTCTGCACCCACGGCAGAACAAGCGGGGCTTCCCTGGGAGCCCCGAACAGCAGCGCTGGTGGATTGAGAAGGTCGCCTCCCAAACACAGGTGCTGACGGAGACGCTGGGCAACTGCTGACGGCGGTTACAGAAGAGACGGGTGTGGGGAGAGGCTGGGAAAGACAAAGACGACCTCCGAACTAGCTCCATTCAATATCTACGATTTTTATAAAAACCATGCGCAAACCTGTCCTTTTGGCCATCCCAGAAAAAAACAGAAACTTCTGGAAATAGCACAGTAGATAACACATATTTCTACAGCTATCAAGCACCTCATGATTTCATTAAACAGTGACAAGTAAGCTGTGGACGAGTAAAACTGCGAAATACCTCCCAAGTCCAAAGCCGGGAAGGTCCAAGGGCCAGACTCAAGCACAGCTCTCCCCGCCACGGCCAGGGCCCTCCCGGATCAACCTCATCCTGCTCGCTCCCTTCTCAAGACTGCCCCACCACCCCGGGCCAGCAGACGGCAGGGCATTCACACCACTGGACTCCCACACGGCTGGACCCCGAGGCTTGGAACTCGTGCCGCATGTGTGCCACACATCCCGGGAGGGGAATGAAGGGAACGCGGTGCAGCCGTGCCCCCTGGGGCGATGGCTCTCTCCCTCTCACGGTCTTTCTCCCCCTGGGGCGATGGCTCTCTCTCCCTCTCACCATCTCTCTCCCCCTGGGGCGATGGCTCTCTCCCTCTCACCGTCTTTCTCCCCCTGGGGCGATGGCTCTCTCCCTCTCACGGTCTTTCTCCCCCTGGGGCGATGGCTCTCTCTCCCTCTCACCATCTCTCTCCCCCTGGGGCGATGGCTCTCTCCCTCTCACCGTCTTTCTCCCCCTGGGGCGATGGCTCTCTCCCTCTCACGGTCTTTCTCCCCCTGGGGTGATGGCTCTCTCCCTCTCACCATCTCTCTCCCCCTGGGGTGATGGCTCTCTCCCTCTCACCGTCTCTCTCCCCCTGGGGCGATGGCTCTCTCTCCCTCTCACGGTCTCTCTCCCCCTGGTGAGCACACATACCCTATGGAGAAACCTCTAAAAAGCTGCTCCACTGACTGAACGCGAGGACAGGGACACTGAGGAGAGGAGGGCGACATTTTCAAAATCCATGTTTGTGAGAGATAGGGTTTCAAGGAACTTAAAAGGTTGCTAGATAGGGCTGTGGGTGGCGTGGTAGTTAAGGCGCTGGACTCCCACATGGTCAACCACAGTTTGAGTCTCCGACCTGGCAGCTTGCTTCCTCAGTTTCTCTCTCTCCCTCTCTCTCTCTCTCTGGTAAGCATGTGTGCCTTATAGCAACTTTAAAAATAATAATAATAAATTTTTAATTAATTCTTAAAAAAAAAAAGACTTACTAGAGACAGAACTAAAACAAAGATGAAGAAAAAGTTCTAAACAGTCTTTGATGTCACTGACGTCTTAACATTAACAACCATGAGGAAAACACTTACAATCTGTGTTCTCTGGTTATCATCTGTAATGATATGGAGCAGTCTCTCCACGAGGAAAGAAACTAGAGATATCGGAGTTGTGGGCAGCGTAAGAACCTCCTGTAAAATAGCCAGCAGTCGCTTCCTGTAGGCAAAAAGAATTATTTTAATTTAAATATCTTTATGACAGATCGGATCGTCTCAATTCTGCCACGCACTTTAATGATTATAGGTACGAAAACTCTTAGACTGTAGGTCAAAAAGGCGTATTCTGCAAGGCAATAATGTTTATGAACCACCCTATAAATATACCAACATGAATACAAATGCCAGTCCAAGTCAGCCCTTTAACAAACACAGATAAACATTGTTAACCAAAACACCCTCCAATGTGATTAACTCCTGCTGCAGAAATTGAAGTAGGCATGCTTAATCACGTTCGAACAAGACTGCTTCAATCCAGGACATTAGAACAGGTCAGGAGTGACAGCACTGAGTCTCACCTCCCGCCTTCTTCGCTGGTATCCAAGGACTTGATAATCAGAATCAATTGCTGACCTATGAACTCTTTGGTCATCAAATGTCCAATATAGGAAAAATCACCTTTCTGTTCTTCATTAACAACGGGAATGCTCTGGATGTAACTAAAACAAGCAGAATTAATAAAGTATAAGAGAGTCTGTTTAAAAAACAAACAAACAAAAAAAACAACCACAAACAGGAGTTTTCAACAATAGGCCAGAAAAAGACCTTTTTAAATTCACAATGGCCCAAATACAGAGCTGCAAATGCCATGCAGAACTAGTTTGGCCTACAGAATAAACTCTATGCTAGTGTCATAAATTGTCAATAAAACCTATTAATGAATCAAAATACCAATAACTTGGAAAATGTATTTTTGATAATGATTCCAATTTTCCAAACTGAACTTTCAAAAGTGCAAGTTTATGTCTCTCAAGTTGGTAACTTAAGATCACTAGCATTTTCCCAAATGGAAAATTCTGAATTCCTTGTGTAAAACCAATTATCACAAACAGCTAGTAGTCTTTCATGATGCCTAAGTAACTACTGCTCTTTCGTTTAAAACACTCAGTGGTAATAACAGTTATTACACAAGTACACCATGAAAACAATGACCTTTCCTTAGACATCAGAAAAGCACGGACCATCTCCCAGCTGCACGGTCCTTTCCTGGGAGACCACTAGCCTGCTCTGGCTCTGCTGTGGGCTGTCCTGGACGGGCACCCTCGACGGCCAGTACCTGGTGTCCCTGCCCAGAGCCAAGCCCCGACAGCCTCCAGAGACGGTGCTCCACTGCCCACTGCAGAGCTCCCCCTTCTCATGTGCGATGTGGAAAGCTTCTTCAAAGCAGCGGTAAAGAGCTTAAGCAGGGCACCCTGTAACCTAGTGCTTAGGGCAGTCAGAGTCCATCTGGCCAACTGCAGTTTGAGTCCCTGTGGCAGTTCGAATAACATACTAGAAACGTGCGAGTGCTTGCACACACCCGCACACGCGCACACACATGCACACACACGCCCGAAATGCTGACAGGAAGGAGAGATGGAGACGGGACTGCAGCAGGACACGGCCCGTTACAGGGTGCTCCTCCCGCACTGCTGAACACGCACGACCTCCAGCGGTTAAAGAGCTTAAGCTTAGACAACCAAGTTCCTTGAGGTTGGAAAGAGTACGAAAACCAATCCTGGTAAAAACACATAATTTTTAAAATGTCAATAAGAATCGAGTTATAAAGGTGCAAAACAGCATATGGTGGCTACGCAGACGCCCGTCTGTTCTGAAGTGACAGCCGGGGCTCTGTGGCGGCACGGCAGGAAGACGCTCCACTCCAGGCCAAGCCACACGGGAAAGTCGCAGACTGGCAGAGACCCCGATCACGCAGGAGGATGTTTTCAGACTGACTGCGCTCCACGGGGGCCGGCAGGTGGTGTGGGGCTGAAGTGGCCAGTGGCCTGGGGGGGGCGCTGGACCCGCCACTCAGCTGCTCTGGCACCTTGTCGGAGCAGAACCCCGTGAGACAGTGTGGCCCAAAGTCTAGACATCTCCTGCCTGGCAACGAAAATTAAAGGTTTGCCGGCCAACTTCAGAAAATAACACACCCTCATACAGACTTCACGAAGAAATGTTTCTAATCAGGTCCTGAAGAAATGACCCCAAATACACGGACTTCTCTCCGAGGACGACTAGCACAGGGCGTTCTCCGGAGACCAACACACACCTACTGATTCCAGCACACCAACAGGAAACAAAGCAGGGGCCTTACGGGATCCCCCATAACACCTGACTCAGGGCGGGGAGTCAGCCCAAATCAAAAGGGGGAAGGGAGTTTACCTCAGTAAATACTCCGCATACACCACAGGTTCTGGCAAAATCTCCTCTAACAATGCTTCGCCTTCGTCTCCTTTGGATTTCAGATATTCACAAAGAACACGCCAGTACAAAGCAATTTCTGGAGTTAACATTTCCACTGGAATCAATTTCCTTCCGTCGAAAAAAAGGAATTAGAGAAAGCATCTTGACATTCGATCAAAACTAGAGCCGAGCACGAAAGTGGGAAAGACTTGATTTATAATCCCCATCTGCCTAACCAAGAAGCCGTTAACTTATCCACACGAAGAGGAGTAAAGAAACGCAGAGAGAGCAGACAGACTGTGG